GCTGGGGGCCCTGAGGCTGCACCCCCCGCCCGGCAGGGCTTGATGGGGGTGGGACCAGCCTGGTCTGGATCTCACACAATGGGGGTCATGGCGGCCAGGTTTGGGTCTTGCGTGATTTCGAGGCATGCACGGGTGGATGGGGACTTGACTCTGCGTCCCACAGTGCGCCCCAGACTCTGACAGGAGGAAGATTTTCATACACATTTTACTAATTTTCTTTCATCTCTGACATACCTATTATAGACAAAGGGCATTGAGCAACATTAAAATATTTCCTCTAATTCCCTTTTAATGTGCACAAATTTCATGCATCTGGGGCACTAGTTAATATAAGGGCTTACTACTGCCATTTCATATTTTACTGTCCAGTTATTTTGTCTCCATTGTTTTTCCTTCTGTTTTGAGTCCACTTTTGTAAGTTGCTGGCTTTTCATGTTTCATGTGTCTTCTCTAAATGTTTGCTTTTTGTTTACCATAAGGTTTACATAAAGCATCTCAGATAAAATAGTCCCATTTTGTGCTGATAGCAATTTATCATTCTTTACCTATAAAAGTTCCATCCTTTCACACCTTCCCTTTTGTGTTTTTTTGATGTCACAGATTATCCTTTTATTCTGTGAAATTTTTAACAGGTTGTAGTAGCTATAGTTATTTTAAATACTACCTTTATGCTGTAATTGTTTACTGTATTCTAAAATAGAGTTAAAGTTTTCAAATTCTGTCATCTTAGTAAGAGTTTGTGTACTTCCACCTTTTTATTTGTTTGAAGACCTTCTTTCAACATTTCTTAAAAGGCAGTTGGTGAACTCCCTCACTTTTTGTTAAGAAAATTTTTATTTCTGCTGCATATCGGAAGGATAACTTTCTTTGCAAGTATTCTTGGGTAGCAATTTTTATCTTTCAACATTTTGAATATGTCTTTGTACTGTCTCCTGGTCTGTAGAATTTTCTGCTTAGAAATCTGCAGATAGCCTAGGAGTTTGTTTGTAGGTTAATGGCACCCCCTCCCCCAGCTGCATTTAAAACTCTTTATAAACTTATTTAATAATCATGGTGATGGTCTTATGCATTGAGATAATTCAGTGTTCCAATAGCTTCTTGAACTTGTATGTCCAGTTTCTTCCCCGGGTTTGGGAAATTCTTGGCTGTTATTTCTTTAGATAATCTGCTGCTTTCTCTCTTTATACCCAATAATCTTTTTTTAAATATCTTTATTGTTGAAAATATTACATAAGTCCTCCTTTTCCCCCCATTAACCTCTTCCACCTGCTCCTGTCTCCCCTTCATATCCCCTCCCCCCCTTTCCAGGTCCATCCATGCTGTCCCAAAAGGTAAGACTTCTTTCTTTTTTATTGCGGAGTAGTATTCCATTGTGTAAATGTACCATAGTTTTATTATCCACTCATCTGCTGATGGGCACTTAGGCTATTTCCAAGTTTGAGCTGTTTGTACTGCTATGAACATAGGGGTGCATATATTCTTTCTGATGAGTGTTTTGGGTTTCTTAGGATATATATATTACTAAAAGTGCAATTACTGCGTCAAATGGGAGTTCCATTTATTTTTCAAGGAAACTTCATAGTGTTTTCCCTAGTGGCTGCACCAGTCTGCATTCCCACCAGCAGTATACAAGGGTTTCCTTTCTCCACCTCACCAACACTTGTTGGTTGATTTGTTGATGATAGCCATTCTGACAGGTGTGAGGCAATACCTAATTGTCATTTGAATTGCATCTGATTACTGACTTTGAGCATTTTTTTATGCGACTCTTGGCTTTCTGTACGCCCATGTTGGAGAAATGTCTATTTAGGTCGTTTCCCCAGTTTTTGATTGGATTGTTTGTCTTCCTTTTGTTAAGTTGTATGAATTCCCTATATATTTTCGAGATTAACCCCTTATCTATCATTGGCAGTAATGTTCTTCCATGCAGTAGGCTCTTATTATTTTGTTGATGGTTTCTTTTGCTGTGCAGAGCTTTTATTTTGATGTAGTCCCATTTGTTTATTTTCTCTTGTTTCCATAGTCCTAGGAGATGTATCCCTAAACATACTGCTATGAGAGATGTCTGAGATTTTGTTGCCTTTCTAGGACTTTTATGGTTTCACATCTTACATTTAAGTCTCACATTCATTTTTAGTTTATTCTTCTGTATGGTGTATGTTGGTGGTGTAGTGTAATTTTTTTTGCATGTACCTGTCCAATTTTCTCTACACCTTTTATTGAAGAGACTGTCTCTTCTCCATTGTATGCTCTTGCCTCCTTTGTCAAATATTGAGCATAATCACTTGAGTTGATTTCTGGATTCTGTTTTGTTCCAATTGGTCTATATGCCTGTTCTTGTGCCAGTGCCAGGCTGTTTTGAGCACAGTGGCTTTGTAGTATAACTTGAAATCTGGTATTTTTGGAGTGTTCTAGGTCCGTGAAAAATGCCATTGGTATTTAATAGGGATTGCATTGAATCTGTAGGTTACTTTGGGTATTATGGACATTTTAATGATGATGAGTCTACTGATCCATGAATATGATATATCCTTCCACTTTTTTATATATCTCTCTGTCTCTTTTTTAAACACCCTGTAGTTTTCAGAGTATGGGTCTTTCACCTCCTTGGTTAAGTTTATTCCTAAGTATCTTAATATTTTTGTTGCAATGGTATTTGGGATTGTTTTATTCATTTCTCTGAGAGTTCATTATTGGTGTAAAACAATGCTATGAACTTTTGGGTGTTCATTTTGTATCCTATGTTTCTGAATCCATTTATTAAATCCAGTAGTTTTCTGATGGGAGTCTTTTAGGGATTTTCTATGTACAGTATCATGTCACCTGCAGTTGAGTTTTACTTCCTCTTTTCTAATTTGGATGTATTTTATTTCTTCTTTTTTTCTGATTACTATGGCCAGGACTTCCAGAACTATGTTGAACAGGAGTGGTGAAAGAGGGCATCCCTATCTTGTTCCTGTTCTTAGGGAAGATGGTTTTAGTTTTGCTCATTATGATGTTGGATGTAGGTTTGTCCTAATATGGCCTTTATTATGTTGAGGTATGATCCCTCTAGTCCTACTTTGCTGAACATTTTTATCAAAAAAAGATGTTGGATTTTGTGGAATCCTTCTTCTGCATTGATTGATATGATCACATGATTTGTGTCTTGCATTCTGTTTGTGCTGTATCACATTTATTGATTTGCAAATATTGTATCAAGCTTGCATCCCCAGAATAAATCCCACTTGGTCATGATATATGATCTTTCAAATGTATTGCTGGATCTGATTTCCTAACATTTTGTTGAGGATTTTTTAAAAAATATATATTTTATTGATTTTTTACAGGGAGGAAGGGAGAGGGATAAGACAGTTAGAATCGATGAGAGAGAAACATCCCTCAGCTGCCTCCTGCACACCTCCTACTGGGGATTTGCCTGCAACCAAGGTACATGCCCTTGACTGGAATCGAACCTGGGACCTTTCAGTTCATAGGCCGATGCTCTATCCACTGAGCCAAACCGGTTAGGGCTTGTTGAGGATTTTAGCGTCTACATTCATTTGGGATATTGGCCTGTAATTCATTTCCTTTGTAGTGTTTTTATCTGGTATTGAAATTAAGGTAATGCTGGCCTCACAAGAGTTTGGAAGTGTTCCTTCCTTACCCAATAATCTTGTGTTGGCTTTTCTAATGGAGTCTGATGATTCTTGTAGGGTTTCTTCACTTTTTAAAAATTTCAGTTCTCCTTTTTCACCTGAATAATTTCTATATTCCTTTACTTTCTCATCCCTCTGATTTCTATTTGCAATGCTTTCTGATGCATTCTTCTCATTTATTGAGTTCAACTCCAGATTTTATTTAGAATTTCAATCTCTTGGTAAAATACTTCTTAGGTTCACAAATTATATTCTTGAGTTTATTGAATTGCCTTTCTGAGTTTCATATTTTGAATTCTTTATGCTGTGTCATTGGTTTTGTTTGCTGGAGTTTTTTCATTTTGTGATATATTGCCATGATTTTTCATAAGTTTTGACAAGTGTGCCTCTGCTGCCACCTTTGGGTAGTGAACATCTTTCTTATTTAGATAAGGTTTCATGCGTCTGCTTTGATTCTAACAATTCAACAGGTTGATAATTAGAAGTTCAGTTTCCAGAAGGTGGTGCTATAACGTAAGTTTTTATCTTATTGGAGCCTACTGGCTGCTGAAGTTGAAAATGCGTGCATAAAAAAAGGTGGCTTTTCCAAAAACAGGCTGGTGGCAGAAGGGGAGGTGGTGTGTGCTTAGCATGGTCATGGCTTTGCCTCTGCCCACAGCCCAATAGGAGGATCCTGGAGTTAGTCCAGAGGCAGGCCTCTTGCTGAAATCCTGGGGCAGTCAGCAGAAAACGTATACCTTCAGCTATTTGTCTTCTTCTTTCCTTTTCAGTCCCCTTCCCCAGTCAGAGAGGTCTCAGGTGGATGTTGGTGAAGAGCAATGGGACCCTTAGCTACAGTCCAGATGGCTCAGCAGACTTTCCCTCATCTCTTACTTTCCACCACCTCTGCAGCTTCCGTGGTTCTAGCCTCCTCCTCGGTCCAGTTCATCCCCTTTGGGGTGTCCTGGTGTGCAGTGCAGTCGTCTACATATCAGACCAAGATAATAAAAGCTTAAATGAGGAGAATGGTAGAATGAACAGGAGAGAATGGGTGTATAAAATATTTGGAATAGAAAACTCAGCTTTAATTCTGATAGACTGGCCACTTAACTCCTGATTATAAATTTCTTTAAGAAATTACACATAATGACAAAATTTTGCATACACAGGAAGAGCAGGGCTAAGGTTCAGACTATAGTGAATTAACAAGTGAAAAAACACTGTATTGTTTGAACCTATTTTCCCTCTAATATACAAGTCAAATTGAACATTTCATTTTGAAACAGATGCAAGGAGCATACCACTTTCCTCAAAAAAAAAAAATCCAAATAACATTTCTGCAAAAGAAACAATGTAAATAAATAGGATAAGGACAAAGTTTAGAAGTCAGTTGAAATTTGCTTTTATTTAAAGACCCAAGGGCCAAGAAGCTCCTTTGTTACAGTACATAACCTATGGCTCTTATAGAGTAACACAGGCATCAAGGAGTCCACGTTTATACCAGTACTGAACTCCTGCTGCAGCAGGTGCAGTGAAGCGGGAGTTCTTTTTCTGGCTTTCAGATTGTAATACATTTTTACATGCAGTAAGTTCTTTGGTAGACTTTATCATTCAGTGGAAGTACAGACTTTACAAAGGACAGTAGTAAAATATTTCATGTAAAATTTGAGCATAATGCTTATCATAAGCAATTTATAGATTTCAGAAAAAAATCCTTGTAAACTTTAAAATATTGCCTCAAAATTTAGCAATTCTGTGCTCAGATACACCAAAAGAAATCTAAAGTAGGGTAGATAATGAGCTTTTAAATGTTATTTCTAGTAATTGGTCAAGTGGAAACTAATCTGAAGAATGTGGAATTCTTTGAAATCCTGGACAGCTACTCAATAATGCATCTTAAATAAGTACATAAATAATGACCACAAAATTTTCAACTACACTATAATATCTTCAAGACTTTGCCTTATCATGTATGAAGAATGTGGGTGACCAAAGTAGATCAATTACACGCAAAAATAAAAAGAAAACGCAGGATGGGGAAAGGTGTGTCAGACTTGATCTGTCATGGGTTACAGTGTATATAATGCCGTGGAACGTCAGTGTTGGTTTGAAAAGTGATGCTCCTCCTCTCCTCTGTGCAATGAGCTCTCTTCCATCAAGAGTTATATTTTTGAAGTGGTTTGTATTTTGATTTTACCAGACACCAAAATTTATAAGAGCATTTTCCTTTTAAAATCAAACTTATTCCTACTGTAGATTTAGGATTGAAGCATTTTAATATTCTTTGGGTAACTTAATATTAGTGTTATGATCATGTAGTTATATATGTGGTTATTCCACTTAAGCCCCCTGCACTGCTACAGTTCTGAACTCAGATTTCAATAAATAAAGGACTGACTTTCTCTCATAGATGGGTTCTAAGTTCAGGAGACTTTACTCAGAGCTGCCATTTGTAATCAGGAGTTTGTGGTTGTGATGGCCCCGGCTAACGGTCCTTTCACACCACTGTCTGGACAGGAGTGACACACTGTGCAGGAGAATTGGCTCTCTCTGAGGATGAGGTTGATCGGTTGGAGATCTCTCTCTGTAGTTCCTCTACTTTTTTCTGAAGTTCTGCTCGTTTAGCAAGAAGTTCTTTGTATCTATTGTGAATGGGCTCCTACAAAAGCAAAACACCACAAAATTATTCCAACTAGACAGTTCTAAACAAACCCAAAGTCACATTCTGGTATGTAGTTCTGTCCCTAAATGTTAAAATGTGGGGTTTTCTCTAGCACCACTGCTCTTCCTCTGGCTTTCCCAGTGCCCATAGTATTTCCACAGAATACTCTAAAACTGGCAATTTTCCAAATATATCAAATAATTAACAATACAATCTAAAAGCCAATGTCAAGTAATTCCTATAGTTTAGATTAAGGTTTTTAGTCTTTTGAAGAGTTTAGTAGTTAGTCCACATTTCAAACTGAACCAAAATTTCCTATTTCTCTAACCTAATTAAGAAAGGCCTCTAGAAGTTATCCAGTCTGACACCTTCATTGTACAGGGGAGAAAGGACGAAACAGAAGTGTTATTTCCAAAGTAATCCAATCGAAGTCAGGAATGCTAAGAACCAAATATACCTATTACCCCTGTGGAGTGCTTTTTCTACTATACAGTTGTAACTATTAACCAGGAAAGGGAAAAGTTCTAAATATGCACATACTTTTTCTAGTTACTATACAATTGCATGGATGAAAACTCCTGCTGTGTATTGTACAGCATACCTGTGGTTTCATACATGGATTCCACCTCACATAATATCCCACCCAGAGCTCTAGGTGGCGCATGCTGGCTACTGGATAAAGGACGTGATTGGAGTAGCTCCCATAGAGAGGATTAGTGAAGTCTTCCAGCTGGCTGTTTATGTAGGACCACAGTGACACTGTCCTTTTAGGAAGGTTCTGTAAAAAGGAAAAGTCGAGATTCATCACATAAGCTCTTTGTACTTTAGAGGTATGTTGTGATCACTTCAGTGATATCCCCACTTACATTAAAATCAGAGGGTATTGGAAAACAGTGCAGTTCCTCAAAAAGGTAAACATAGAGTTACTGTGCCCATGATTCTACTCTTAGGTTTATACCCAAGAGAATTAAAAACAGGCACATAGAATTCTGTGCATAGATGTTCAAAGCAGCATTTTTTATAATGGCCAAAAAGTAGAAATCCAAACATCTATCAACTGACAATAGTTATACGATGGAACGTTCATCCATAAAAAGGTATGAAGTATTGATAACTGCTACAAATCAAACCTTATGCTACGTGAAAGAAGCCAGACACTGAGGCCATATCCTGAATAACTCCATTTCCATGAAACGTCCTGAAGGGGCAAATCCACAGACAGATTAGGGTTTGCCAGGGGCTGGGAGGGCAGGAGAATGGAGAGTAAGTACTAACAGGTACAGTTTCTTTCCAATGTTGTGAACATAGTGCTGATGTTTGTACAACTCTAGATACCTTAAAAACCACTAAACCAAGCATGTCAAACTCATGCCTGCTGACATGCTTGTACTAAATAATATACTTCTAAGAGAGTGAATTTTGTGGACTGCAAATTATACCTCAGTAAAAATGTTCCTTTTTAAATATCAAGATATAGTAAATCCTATTCAAGGCTCAAAAAATGCAAGTATTTAGGAACTTAGCTATTCTCAATTATCTAACATTTAACCAATTCTTGAGTGTCTACTATGCAGGCAATTATTTACTGTGTGTTAGTAGACACTGAAGATACTATGGTAAATTAATATAGTCCAGGAAGCACTTACTACATAGCAATGACTGTAGAGTTTTGTATGGTGGAATCCTCACACCAATAAGTACTATTTCCCCTAATTTTACAGAAGCAGAAATTAACTTGCCGGAAGTCACACAGTAAGTGAAAAATCCAAGGTCTGAATCAGGCAGCCCGGCTCAAAGCAAGCAACTCTCCACTCTGCTTTAGCAGTGGTGAGAACGTCTGGCCCTGCCAAGGCATTACGGGGAGTTCATTCAATGTTTGACAAACATAGCAGGCTAATTTTTAAGTTTATAATTTTGTATGGCCCAAGAATGATGTTATAAATATCCAAATGGCTCTTGGCAGAAAAAAAGGTTCCCCACTACTGCTTTATGGAAAATCTAACCACTTTTTTAAAAATGAAAATTGATGCAGGGAGATACACTGATCAATAGGATTAAGAATTTCATACAGAAGTAATCCTTATATGGTTTGTTGTAAATAATACCAACCACCAGTAATATCTTTGGCTAAATGGGGTAACAAAATAACTTTATACACAGTATCTTTTCAGTGTTTAAATGTTTTACAGTATTATTTTATGATTTTAAAAACTAAAATGTCGCATGAATATATTTTCAGATTTGAGTTATACATTTATTTAAATGTATGTTTTATCATATATTACCAATTATATGTACTGCACCTGTTCTGAAGGATTTCCATCCTGCAAGGATAACAGGTACACTGGTGCTCCTTAGCAGACACTACTTCCCACCCATAACTCACCTGGCAGCTAGCTAGCACTTTAGCATTGCAACAGAGGTACTTTAAAATACTAGTAGATCAGGCTCAGAAGTTTGGGAAGAAGGAATCATAATAAAGTCTGGCCAAAGAAATCATTCAAAAGAACTATTCAGTTGCAATCCATCACAACATACACTGTAGTAGGGAAAATACATGTTGAGGATAGACCAGGACAGGGGCTCATTATTTTACCTCTTTTACTCTCTGCTGTTCACTGTTACAAAGGAATGTTCCGAATAAACAGCTATACAGGTGGTCCAAAATGGTAATGAGAAAATATTCATTGAATTCAAATGCTGTAGGAAACTGCAAATCAAACACCACAAACAAAACTATTAAGACATCTTTTTCGAGCATATTCACCCTGTAGTATATGAGTAGATAGATCCTTTATAATATTTAAAAGTAGGCCAAATATTCAAAACTATATTTCTAAGCCATTATGGCATCTGCTTGGTTTTCTGTTCAAAAATCATTTTACCATTTAGTTCTAAGATTTCTCCAAAATCTTTTCTTATGCATCAAGAATTTGAGTGGTCTGACCTTGATGTTTCTGATCTACATCTGCTAGCCCCACAAGCTGAGGAATTTTGACCTGGGCAATTCTGGAAACTCTAATCTTTCTCTGCCAAAAGTGACCATAAACAACATAAGGTTTTTCTTTAAATTTCAAAAACATTGTTTTGTTTTAGAAATTACAAAAAAATAGCATCAATGTCTCCAAAAAAATGTCAGCAATGCGCACAAATAACTGCCCCAGGCAGATGTGCAGATCATTTAAAGCGAACCTGCTCATCTTTTCAAGGAGCAGCCAGGCAAATGGGAGTATCGTGTAACCCAGGACTTTGGCAGCCTCTTTCTAATTAAAAAGAAAATTCACTTTCTCCATAACCTAACGGCAGCGGCCTACTAGATGTCTTAATATTATACAAACAACACAACCTGTGGGGAATTTATCAAGGTCAAATTACAGACCACAGGAAGGTAAAGGATTTAGTTTAATCCATCCTGTCAATGTAATAGTTCAAAATTATCCCAAAGTTTCCATGTAAGATTGTACCAATTACACAACTGAAAAGGAATTCCATGAATATTTAGATTGCAGAGTTGGGAAATATTCACTTCAAGTAAGTTTTTTTAGAATGATTCCTACCCAGTAGTGAAGGAAAATAGCATGAACTGTAAGCAAAAGGGACAGGGTTAAAAACAACTTTACCTTATAATTTCCTAAATTTTAGGAAGCCCTAAGCAGGGTAATATAGCAGATTTCTCCAAGAATAAATGATAACTCCATGTAGTGGCTATGGAACTGAATGAATGCAGCAGGTGATCAAGCACATGCCAACATAAAGCCAAGTATTTTAAGAAGCTTGGCCAAATCCCATTTATTTACAAAATAAATCCCATCACCTGATTAACACTCTGAGCCTTATTTATTAGCCAACTATGCGTGTCCTCTGACTCATGAAATAGCAATCCTGAAGAGCTGAGCCTGTGGATAGCTCTTCCTGGCAGGGCTTTCAGCTCAGTTATGAGAAGATATCTTAATCAGTGGGCATTTCCTCACAGCAACACTAAAACAGCAGAGCATTAACTGTTGGCACTGCTTTTAAAATCTTAAACAGAAGAGGAATATTTTGTTCTTGCATATTTAAAATCTCAAGGGCCCTTCATCCACTGCTTCCTGAAGATGCGAGTAAGAACAGAGGTAGAATCTGGTTAACTACAACATGATTCTCATTTTGACAAATGTGTTATTTAAATCTCTGAACAAACATGCAATTATTTGTAAAACTAAAGATTACCAGTAAACATTGTAACATGTTCAGGAAGAAAATGTACATAAAACAGAACTAGATGTCTAAAGAATCATCACTTCTATAATGTATTTTAGATTATCTAAGAAACAAGATTAAACTGATTTTCTACTTTACCTTAAGCTCAGCACTGAAGTAAGACTGCTATTAGGTATATAACATATAGAAAGTTAACACAGCTACTCAGGAAGACATGTACTACTCATATATTCTGCCACATAAGCAACTGGTAACTTTGATTTTTTTTTAACAAGCATACCAGAACTAATATATTCACTTATGTTGCCCCTTTAAGATAGTCCCCTTGGGAAGCAGTCCATATAAGCATCCATGATGCCACGGCTTCACACAACCTTCCTAGTCCGTTGATAGGGCATTTGATTTTTGCCAACAGCCAAATGCTATTTAGAAACTGAATATGGTAATGGCCAAAAATGGGTCCTGCCCTGGTCAGTTTGGCTCAGTAGATAGTGAGTCTACCCTTGGACTGAAGGGTCCTGGGTTTTATTCCAGTCAAGGGCACGTATCTCAGTTGCAGGCTCGATCCCCAGCCCCTGTCGGGGTACATGTGGGAGGCAACCAATCAATGTGTCTCTCTCACATGGATGTTTTGGTTTTTTCTTTAAGTGGATCCTATTATTTTTAGTCAAAACCCAAAAAAGGATTGGTAAGGATTTGTATAGCTGATAGACTACCTCAAAGGCAATTCCAAAGGAAAATTTCTCACGTGCTCCAAGAAGTAGTGAACATTAAAATAAGTATGTAGCATCTCCCCTCCCACAACATATGAGAACCTGATGCACAGAACAAAACTGAATTGTATACACATTCGTAGCATATGTGTGAAAATAGCAGCCTCTTCATACTGTAGTCATATCTACAACACAGTTTAACCCAGCAAGTTTCCAAATAATCCACCCAAATTGAAATTCTTTTGGGAAGAAAGAAACTTCAATATACACTGTAATTGGTGTATTTTTCCCTAAGGATCACCACTTCCTTTTAAATCAGGGGTCCTCAAACTACGGCCCGTGGGCCACATGCAAATACAAATATTGTATTTGTTCCCATTTTGTTTTTTTACTTCAAAATAAGATATGTGCAGTGTGCATAGGAATTTGTTCATAGTTTTTTTAAAACTATAGTCCGGCCCTCCAACGGTCTGAGGGACAGTGAACTGGTCTCCTGTTTAAAAAGTTTGAGGACCCCTGTTTTAAATAGTATTTTCTTGAAGCTAAAATGTGACCCTAAAGCAGAGCAGAGCCACCAATTTCCCTACCTTATATTCAGATGAGAATCTAACTAAAAACAAACCAGACTCCCAGCTGAGGTCTAATAAACCCTTGGGTGATAGTTAACTGACATACCAGTGAGCTGTATCCAACTTTGGGGTTTTGAGGTGATTTTTCTTAAGTAGAGTTAAATATTTTTATGACCCAAACCCTTGCCTCATTAGGGGGTGATCCCATAATTAACCAGATTTTTTTTCTGTTTTGGGCTATCTAAATATAGCAAACCATTTACACTAGATTTCACATTGGTTTATTAGAAAGTTGGTAGAAGCTCTAAAAAACCAATCTCTCCATACCTAAGAAAAATAAAGAACCCATTATATACCTATCTTGCCATCATTTCCCACCCAACCCATTTTTCATTAAATTTATCTGTTTCTTCATTTCTTTACCTTTTTAACAATATGCAGATGAGCTTTTGGGTGAACATGCTGCGTGATGTTACTAATTGTCTATAGAGGAGGAAACCTCTTGGGTTATTATGGAACCACTCACTGAAATGCTGATGGAATCAAATTGTCAAGTGTTTAATACTAATTCACAACGTGATAATTAGGTAATAGTTATGTTACCTAGAAACCTTACAAGAATTTTCATTTTACATGAAATATAGGAAAATCAGTGACCAATCTCCTAACTCCAACGGGAAGGCTTAAAAAAGAGATGTAAGAATGGATATATTAAGTTACCTGTCTTGTCATTTGCCAGACACAGTCGATGAACTGAAGAAAAACAGGCGATCTATCTGCATCTGCATGATTCTTATCTCCATGCCCAAGTCTCTGAAGAAAGACAGTGAAATAGCATGTGAACTTTGTGGAGTTTTTCATTTTTTAATGAAAATAAATTTCCAATAAAAATACTATTTTGTCAATATTTTTTAAATGCCAGAAAATCTTTCTAAAAGAGCATAGCAAAGAAAATAGCCATCACCATCACCCTACCTATGAAATGTCCATACAGTAGACTCGTGCACCTGAAACCTACACTGAATGGCCAGATTATGACCACCTGACGTTTGTAGGCAAATCAGCTATAATTTCGCACTGAAGGTGCTAGAGGGCCAGACCATTATAAATAGGGAAGCAGGTTGTTTACCACAATAGAAGTGATTTTTTTCTGAAGATATGGGTAAACAACACGATTTACCAGCCTTTGAATGTGGGAGATATATATATATATATATACACACACACACACACATATACACACACACACATATATATACACATATATATACACACACACACACACACATACACACACATACTGTATATGCTTTGCTAACAAGTATCACCCCAATAAATTCAATAAAAAGAAAAAAAAACATTTTTATGTGCAAACTGCCAGGTTTAACATGTGATGCTTTTAACAGGAATTACAACTTCGTTTAATAAATGAAACCTAGGCAATTGAACCAACACCATTTCAGTGCATAGGACGATGCCCAACTAGCTGAGCCACACCGGACAGGGCACATGCCAGGATTGTGGGCTCCATCCCCAGTAATAAGTGGGGGTGGGTGGGGGGGTGAGCAGCTTATCGATGTTCACTCTCACACCAATGTTTCTTTTTTCCCTCTCCCTTCCCCTCTCTCTAAAAATAATAATAAATGAAACCCAGACCTAAAAGGCTGATAATGGAAGATTGGAGTAGTCAGACCTCAGAGATCTAATTTCCCCCTGAATATTATGTTGTCATATAAAATACCCTTCTCCTCTAACACCTTGGCCAGTGCATGAAGGGGACCTGTTGCATCTTAGCTCCAGTCTCTTTAACAAGAAGAATCAACATTAGCACAAACCTTCATAAACCTTTAAAAAATGCTTGACTTCTGCCCTCCAAGCATGCACTCTCACCCAGGTTCTCAGTTTTTTCTTTCTCTGAGCACCTTTGCCCCAGGTGACTGAAACAGACCCCTGCTCCCTATCTTAAAGCCACTGATTCTAAAAATATGATCCCTAGACTTCTGGGGGTGGGGGGGACTGTGAGGTCAAACTAATTTCATAATCCTAAAATGTCATCTGCCTTTTTAAATTCATTGACGTTTGCACTCATGGTGCAGAAGTGATGAAGGATCAAACGTTTTGGTACCGTGGGAGGAATCAAGCAAGGCAGTGAAATGAAGCTGCACTGTGGTTACACCCTGCCCTGCCACACACAGCACTCAAATGAAAGGGACTAGAGCCAATTTCTGGAGCAGTTTCCTTGAAGCAGTAAAAAGTATTAACGTTATTAAATGCATTTTTTTTACTATTCTGTATAACAAATGGGAAATGCACATGATGCGCTTCTGCTGTAAACTTAAGTAGAACGACAGGAACTGACACCTTTTCACAGAACATCATTCTGACTTGAAAGAACAATTGATAAGTGAACTATGGTTATGAAGACTTGACTATCTTGCAGACTTTTTGAAAATGTACAAAGTGCCGAAGCTGGTTTGGTTCAGTGGATAGAGCGTCGGCCTGCGGACTGAAGGGTCCCAGGTTCGATTCCGGTCAAGGGCATGTACCTGGGTTGCAGGCACATCCCTAGTGGGAGGTGTGCAGGAGGCGGCTGATCGATGTTTCTCTCATGGATGTTTCTGACTCTCTCCCTTCCTCGCTGTAAAAAAATCAATAAAATATATTTTTTTTAAAAAGAAAACGTACAAAGTGACTGTGTCACTTCAAGGAATTCAATGGACAGTATTTGTTGCCAATGATAAAATTCAAGCTTTTGAGTGAAAATTAGATTTTTGGAAAACTTTTACCTGCCACATAAGTTTGATAATACCTAAAGACTTCCAATAAAATCAGTGGTGGTATTAACAGCTGTGGTTTATGGGATTATATAAAGGAATGCATTGGAAGAACCAAGATGGCGGCGTAAGGCACAGCCCTGTGCGTGCTGCCTCCCACAGCAACATTGAAAATACCAACTATAAGACAAAACAGCTATCATTCAGAACCATGGGGAAGCTGGCCCAGTGGAAGTTCTACAACTGGAAGGAAAGAAAGAAGCACATTGAGACTGAATAGGATATGCAGAGGCGCCAAGAGCAGAGGTACGGAGTCGCGCACCAGGCAGGCTGCAACTGGATGGGCGGTTTTTTTCAATCGAAAGGGTTTACAAACTCTTGAATCCACTGAGCTTGTTTGGGGCGGGATTCTGAGGTCCCAGACCCCTACGGGGAGGGGCGGGACGGCCTTGAAGCGGGTCCGAAACCGAGAGTGGCTTTCTCGCGGAGCTGCTCGCGGGCACTCGGGGACGCGGAGTTAGAGAGGCGAGGAGTCAGAGACACCATTGCTGCTTGCTCTGCCCTGGTGACTCCCTGAGACCCTGCCCTACTCAATTTCCATCCCCGCCCGAGCTGTGCCAGAAGCACAAAAGGAACCTCCTGTGCTTAACCACCTGCGCTTTTGCAGCTTAACCCAACAAACTGCAGATTTCAACTCCTCGCACCCATAAGGGACACACTCAAGAAGCAGAATCTGGTTCGGAGAAGGCAGGCCCACCAGATCCAGTCTCACATGGGACGCTGGGTGACGGCAGACAGGCAGTGTGTGCGCTTAGTAGAAAACGAAATCCAAGCAAGCATACCAGATATTCAGCCAGCAAGAACGCCTGGAGATTTTGTCCAGCAAGGAGTCTCCCAACAAAAGACAGAATGCCAAACCTTGTGTTGACCAGTTAAAGTATGATGTCCAGCACTTCCAGCATCGGCAATACGCAAGGGAGCAGCAGGAGAGACAGCGAGAGGAGCTTCTGCCTCGCACCTTCACCCCCAACGTGGGATACGGTGCCCCCTGTGAGGCTGCGGTGCCCCCTGCGAGGCTGAGACGGCCCTGGAAATAGCTACATTTTCCATGTGTATGACCCACCAACAAAAAGTACACCTATGGTGAGGACAGTGGGGGGGTAAGGGTGGGGGAGGGGGCGAACTGGGTGGAGGGGAGCTATGGGGGGGAAAGGGGGAACAGCTGTAATAATCTGAACAATAAAGATTTTTTAAAAATGCATTAACAGTGGAAAAGGTATATAGCTCAGCAAGCAAGCATTTTCCACATATCCAACATCTGATGGTACAAAATCCCGTGTGGGTAAAAGAACTATTCAAAGTGGGAGACGGACCAATAGAATTTAATGGAACAAACAACAAAACCTCATTGATTTGGATTCCACATTGTTTTGGATTCCACATTACAATTAATCTCTAAGAAACTACCTTTTAAGTTTTGGTACAATAACAAAGAATAATACCAATAATTCCCTAAAAAAGCTACTAAAAGACTCTACTTTCTAAACTATGTATCTGTCTGTGTGTGGTCAGATTCTTCTGTCATATACTTCAACCAGCAAAACATACTGCAGCAGAATGAATGCAGAAGAAAAGAAATTTAGCTGTCATATTAAGCCAAATTTTAAAAATTACCCCCAAAACATAAAACAATGCTTCTCATGAAAACGTCTTTGTTTTGTTAAATATATTTTTCTTTAAAATATTATTTGTTAATGTTTCCCCAGAATTCCTATTTTGCATTAATGTGATGATATTAGGAAGAGTTCGGCTCTGGGTGGAACCCTCTGGTGGAATGGGGTTAGTGCTCATATCAAAAAAGACCCCACAGAGCTTCTGAGCCCTCTTCCTGCATGTGAGGACGGTGAGAAGATTACAATCTGCAACCCAAAGGAGTGTCTTCACCAGAACCTCACCATGCTGGCACGCTGACTCTGGACTATTAGCCCTCTAACAGAAATATCCCTGGCCAGTGTGTTCAATGATTAGAGCACAGGCCTGTGCCCGAGTGTTGTGGGTTCAATTTCCAGTCATTGGTACATACATGGGTTGCAGGTTCGATCCCCAGCCCTGGTTGGGGAGCATGTGGGAGACAATTTCTCACATTGACGTCTTTCTCCCCCACTTCCTCCCTCCCTCCCACTCTTTCTCAAAAAAAAAAATCAATGGAAAAAAATATCCTTGGATGATGATTAAAAACAACAAAACTGTGAGGAATAAATTTCTGTTGTTTATAAGCCACCATCTATGGCAGTGGTTCTCAACCTGGGAGTCGAACGACCCTTTCACGGGGGTCGCCTAAGACCATCGGAAAACACATACATAATTACATATTGTTTTTGTGATTAATCACTATGCTTTAATTATGTTCAATTTGTAACAATGAAAATACATCCTGCATATCAGATATTTACATTATGATTCCTAACAGTAGCAAAATTACAGTTATGAAGTAGCAACAAAAATAATTTTATGGTTGGGGGTCACCACAACATGAGGAACTGTATTAAAGGGTCGCGGCGTTAAGAAGGTTTAGAACCACTGGTCTATGTTATTATAACAGTCCAAATGGACTAAGACAAATAGATTTATTTCTTTAATTAGTATTTAATTAGTATTCAATTTAATTTCTAATATGGTAAATACTGATAGTCATAAACCATATAAGCAAAGTTCTCTGGGGTCATCAATAATTGTCAAGAATGAAAGGTCTTGAAATCAACAAGTGTGAGAATCAGTGCCCTGTATTAACCATGTGTGAGCACAGCATCTTGACCAGATGTCCTTTATTGGTCAAATTTTGCTAATTTTTCACCTAACACCTGGGGTAAATGGAGTAGAAAACCAGAGCTGACAATTTAGGAAACCATAGCAATTTCAAACAGTTTGCTATGTTTATGATTTTGGTCACATTTATATAACATGTGCAGCTTTGGCTGACTAAAACTTTATTCTTTGAAGTAAGTTTTTTTGTGTTTTATTTTTAAATAGTCTTCTCATTTTATAGAGAATTGAAAAATGTGAGCCATCTGAATAGATACTCCAGATGCCCAATTTCACAGCTTGAAGTTCAAAAGAGCAGACTTACCATTAAATGTCTGTTTTTCTCAAGCCATTTATAAACAATGCCCATATACCCCGGCAACTCCTGGACACTAAAGGTTAACATTAGAGACAGCGTCTGGGTAGACCTCTTTCACAAAGCCTTTCAGCTCATCTAGGAAAATGCTGCCACGAGCCACACTCTCAGTGGTTTTATGGTCCCTGACCCACTAACTCCTCCCCTGGCCAAGATTCTCTAAACCTGACCCTCCCTCATCGCTATTCTTGCCACGCTCAACTCTCTAGACATGTGCTCACTCTGCTCCTACTTTGTGTGAAAATATTACTCCTTCTCACTCTCCAAATTCTATGATTGTAACCAACACAAATAGACATTACATAAGAACCAAGTTTTCTGATTCCAAATTTAGTGTTTAGCAGAAACTACTTAAATGTGTGTTTATGTAAAAGCTACACAAATCCAAAGTGTGATGTAACAAAAAAGCACATGTGAAAGGGACATAATACACCCATTCATTTAGGAACTGTGATTCGTTCTGGCTACCCACCTGCAGAAAGGTCCTGAGGAAAACTAGGAGGGAGGAGCTAGGACAAGTGAGGAAAGTGGATATTTAGCCAGAAGAACTGACGACTATATGACATGAACTGACAGCTACTTCCTAATATCTGAAGGGCTATCTTATATGAACAAGTAGTTACATTTGTTGTTCTTGTCTCCAAAGGGGAATGTAGAAACACTGGGAAGCAGATTTTAGTTCCCTAGGAGGAAGAGGTTTCGAATAGGTAGACTTTCCGGGGGGAGACTGACAGCCTCGGGGAGAGACTGCGGCTTTTTCCTGTGGTGTCAATGAGGACACCAAACAGTCACTGTGGGACACCACAGATGTTCAACAACTGCTGGGCTCTGACTTCCTCTGACTCTTAAATTTGATACCAACGATAACATCAACATAAATTTTGAGACTTACAGAAGGCACAAAAACTTGTCATTTCCATAAAACTAACTGCAACACTTTAATTTACTGATTTTTAGAGAGAGAGAGAAAGAGATACATCAATTTGTTGTCCCACTTATTTATTCATTCACTGGTCACTTGTTGTATGTACTCTGACCGGGGACCAAAGATGGAAGCCCGTATCGGGATGACGCTCTAACCAACTGAGCTGCTTGGCCAGGGCTGCAACACTGGCCAAGTGTTAGTGCCTTAAAAAGGATAACAGGAAAGTTGTTTTATTCCCAACTCTGAGTTACATTTTACTTTTTTTCTTCCAGTCCCAGTATTTTTAGACCCTGATCTTGTGTGAGCAATGCTACTTTGTAGGGCTGCTTCAAGTTGAGAATAATAATTCAGCCATTCTAATCTTTTTTTAAGTCTACAGGAAAAGCTACAAGTGCCTTGTAATTCCACAACCATTCTTGCTAATCTGAACTATCAACTGCAGGAGGACAGGAGACGCCCATGGAAATCATGGGATGAGACCTGACGTTTCCTGGTAGAGATGACAGAGAGGCTGGGTCAGGGGCCTACCAAATAGCCAGGCCTGGCTCAGGCTGCAGAGCCTGGATGGAAGACGCTAATGCTTTCCAAAACAAAAAGTTCTCCTGAGAAGCTTACCCCTCTAGAATAAATGATCGATTCTAGATGAATAGCTAATGAATAGAAGGCATTATTTTCACACGCCTGATGTGGGATGCATGGAATACATCGATTCAAGGTTCTTTACTCACAAGCTGAAATCGATGTCCAAAGCTCAGCCATTCTTTCTCCACGAGGACTTCGAATCCGCGGATGGTTCGGTAGTACCCGTCCAGCATGAGCATGGCCAGGGACGTCAGCTGGGCGGTGCGGTCCCAGCCATCGCTGCAGTGCACCACCACCGACGTCTTTCCTGATTCCACCCTGTCAGCAATCCGGAGAGCTCCGGCAAGAATAAGCTGCAAAACAGATATTTTTTTTTAAATAAAAATTTTTTTTAAATGCTTCCTTATTTAAAATGATAATTTTTTGCTAGGGATGACTGTCTCAATAACATGAAAAACAAACATCGGTCCCTTCCTAAAAAAAATTTTTTTAAGTGGTAGAAGGCTTACAAATTTTGCTTTTAAAAATAGAAAAATCTCATAAATGCAGACTCCTATTTATCTGCACAATGAAATATACAAATGAAAGGTGCCCTTGGGTTCTACAGAAATCAACAGTATGAGAAAGAAAAAAAGATCTAAGTTCTAAAAAGGACTGTTTCTAAGAATCTTCCAATATTCCAAGTATCATCCACTTAAAATATCCCAACTGAAGTCTTATCTCTTATTTATAACAATGCTTGCTTAACCAAATTAAAATATGTCTGAAACAATAAAATTGATCTCTTTTAAGATATGCTATAGCTTCCACAGCATTTTACTCTTTTTATATATGGCATACAGCACACAGAGAACACAGTATAAAACTTCAGAGTAAGTACTTTTCTGTATCGGGATGAATGAAAATTCTCATCTGTTCAATATATTACCAGGTCAATTTAACTGGTATCTAAAATAATTTCAGTTATTTATTTAAATATGCACAGACTCTGCAAAATAATTTAAGATCCTCGGGTGAGGATTTAAATAAATAAATAAAAAAAAATAATAATAAAAAATAAAACTAGACAAAATTATATGTAACCAAAACAGAAACAGTATACTGTCCTTTAAAATAGACATTCGAGCCGAAGCCGGTTTGGCTCAGTGGATAGAGCGTTGGCCTGCGGACTGAGGGGTCCCAGGTTCGATTCCGGTCAGGGGCATGTACCTGGGTTGCGGGCACATCCCCAGTGGGGAGAGTGCAGGAGGCAGCTGATCAATGTTTCTCATCGATGTTTCTAGCTCTCTGTCTCTCTCCCTTCCTCTCTGTAAAAAATCAATAGAATATATTTAAAAAAAAAAATAGACATTCAAGTACTATTCGTCTCTTCAGTGACTAGATCAGACATACAGAACAGCATGGCTCCCCAAACATCAGAATGAAAGAAATGTGACTTACAACCAGGTTAAAGAATCTCACAATAGACTCCCTCTGACCTTATTGTCAGCGTGTTCAGGAAACGGGGTGCTTGCTGAAGCAACCTCAATCCTGACTATGCCAGAGTCATCTGGGAGCATTGCCTTTTTCTAAAATGCCTGGACTCCAATCTCCACTAATCCTAACTCACTATTTTAAATAACTTCCACCGATAATTCAAACGCATATCCAGACTTACAAATCACTGACCCAAAAGGACCAAAACAGTTGGGAAGATAAGGCTGACCCAAAGTGGTCATTTTAACTCATGCACTTGTTTATAAAACAACTAAAGGCCTGGTGCATGAAAATTCATGCATTGGAGGGGGGTCCTTCAGCCAGGCTTGCCCTCTCTCACAGTCTGGGAGCCCTCAGGGGCGGGAGGCGACCCGGAGATCAGGGGAAGGCGAGGCCCCCATCACACCTCTGCTGCTGCCACTGCCGGCAGCACAAGCCTCAGACAGCCCTGGTTACCTGAGCCTAGGGCGGCCCTGGGCAGCTG